CCTGGACCTTGACAGGTAGTGCACGTTTTTCTTATCTGCCCCGACATATGACAACTGTTCCTAACTGGAAGGTGATGTCAGCCAAAGTCTATGACTAGTCTTGGTTAGCTTTGTTTCAGCTTCAGATTATTCTAGTTGTAAACATACCATGCTGTTCATGTCTTAACTATTCAAAAGACTGAGCAAAATATTTTACTTGGATATATATATTTTTTTAAATAGGGTATTTGACAGAAGCTTCCAGATTTAAGTTTAATATTTTTTACAATTCTTGAAATGTGAACATCTGAAAGGCCATTTTGGAGTATCCCAAGAACACTGCAACTAGAGGTTATATTTTCTTGAACTCTTCCAGAGTAACATGTATTCAGTGTACAGAGGGACATAACAGAGGCAAACCGGGGAAGGGAACACAAGATATATAGCTCTCCATTTCATTTCTTCATAGTTACAAGATGTTCACATTGTGACCACATGCAGCTTTGAGACAGTAGTTTTCTAGAGCTTTCTGGGTTCAGTATCAAATGCACTGTGTCCCAATCATTGCTCACACTACATGATAGTGATAGTACTTTCTTAAAAAGGAAACCCATTTGTGGGCTTGTGACTGGGGCCATGCTGCATAGCATGAAGCTGCATCATGCTGCCAAAAGCTTCCCACAGCTGGGACTTAGCTTCCCTACAGTGGCATCTCCTTTGTGCAGGGGAAACCACCTCTGTCCCTGTTTTTTTTTCAGGGCTGCCTCATCACTTTTATTTTTCTCCCTGCTCTCCCTCTCCTCCCTCATTAGGCAATATGTTGAAAGTTCCCACCAAGCTAGGGAAGCTTGTGGCTTTATTATGAACCTTGCAGTATGCGAGGTCTTGCCCAGGGTTTTTGTTCCTAGAAGGAATCTCATTTTGAATTAGAAAAAAATAAATCAAATTTCTAGACTCAAACTCCCTATTTATACACCATTTGAATAAAATGGAATCTGATCCTTAGTCTCTGTGCCTCATAATACTACTGTTCATTTCCAGGAGTGAGTACATTAAAGATTTGGGCTGTTCAGACCTCACAGTAACAGGAGCCATAATAGTATCTTTCCAGAGCAGTAATTCTCAATGGGGCAATACCAGGCTCAAGTGTTGCATTGATTATTATATTATGATTCTTCATTCAGTTTTTTTCTAGTTGAAAAACCATGTTTCCAGTCATGTTGTTGGGTTTTTTAATACATTGTAATAAATTATTTTTCCGTTTTAGTGTGGTTCCTCTAAATTCAGAAATGTTATAGAGGGGTATCTCATCTAACAGGCTGAGAACCACCAATTTAGAAGAAGCTTCTGTAATTGGAGTGTGCAACTGATTGGAAAGTCAAACTCAGAGACAGTTATCAGTGGCTTGCTGTTGCACTGGAAGGATGTTAAGTGGGATTCCAGTGGTCTATCCTCAGTCTGATGCAATTCAGTGGTTTCAGTAATGGCTTGGAGGATGGAACAGAGTGTGTGCGTATTAAAATTGCAGTCAACACTAAGCAGGAGTTGCAGGTAGCTTGGAGGACAGGATTCAAATGCAAACTGATCTTGACAAATTGGAGAAATAGTCTGAAATAAGTGGAATGAAATTCAGCAATGACCATGTGCCAAGTACTGCACTTAGGGATAATCCACTGCATAAAATCAAATTGGGAAATGATTGATTAGGCATCAGAGAAAGGACAAAAGATTTATAGTAGATTGCAAACAGAATAGGAGATGATTATATATACAGGAGTGTTAGGTAAGACAGGTAAATACTCCACTCTGTTTAGCACTGCTATGGCCTCATCTTGTATGTTGTGTTCTGTTCTGGGATGCACACTTCAAGAAAGTTATGAAGCAATAGGAGAGAGCCAAAAACAGTAGATCTGGAAAACATGATTTATGAGGAAGGATTGAAAGAACTGAGTGTTTGTTTAGCTAAGAGAAGAGTAAAGAGGTATCATAAATCTTCAAATATGTAAAGAGTTACTGCAAAGATTATAAATTGTACTCTGTGTCTGTCAGGGACAGGCCAAGAAATAATAGGTGTGAGGTGCAACAAAAAAGATACAGGTTAGGAATAAGAAAAATTTCTAATTGTAAGGGTAGCCAAACATGGGAAGAAGATTACTTAGGAGGGTTATGGAAGCTCTGTCATGGGAGCTTTTAAAGAACAGGTTAGATTAATATCTGTCAGGAATGCTTTCAGTATAGTTGATCCTGCCTTGGGGTTGGAGAGATGGATTAGATGGCCTCTTGCACTCCCTTTCAGACCTGCTTCCTTAGAATTCTGTGTTTTGTCTTTGTTACTCTATTTTGTGCAGCCCTTATTATCCAACACTTCACAGTCCCTAACTTACTGTATTTACTTGATTCCAAGACTAAATCCCCTCCCCCTATTTAACATGGGGAGGTGAAGCTCCTCATCTTGGAATCAGGTACAAGGTCAGGGTTGAAGCTGCAGCTGCTGCCTGTTGCCTCAGACTCCCTACTCTGCCTTCCCTGTCTCTCCCCCCCACCTTGCTCTGGCACAGGCAGGCTCCACCCTTGTTCCAGCCTGGGGCACAGAGCATGGCCCCAGCTTAGCCCTATAGCAGCAGTGCTAGCTACACACCACTGCTATGGGGCAAGGCTGGAGCTGTGCTCTGTGTTGCAACAGGAACAGAGCTTGCTGGTGCTGGAGCAAGGCTAAGGGGTAGTAGGGAACAGAGGTTCTTGGAGGGTGCAGGGGG